CCTGAGTCCCCCCCCCCGCTCTGGTAAATCTAATAGAAGAGAGTGAGTGCAGCTGCAGAACCAGATTAAACACATATTTATCTCCAACATAAATGCCAACACATGCAAATGTCCTGGTTTTCACCACAGTCTGAGGAGACGAGGAGACAAGGAGACGTCTGTTATCCTGCTCTGAGGAAAATACTTCAAGGCCACTTACAGAACTGGGCCAGAAGCAGCGGGCTATGAGGAGGAACCAGGAGGAACCTGGAGGAACCTGGAGGAACCAGGAGGAACCAGGAGGACCCAGATCATTCAGCCCTACAGAGACACTGACCTCTGATCGTCTGTGTCACAGGTACTGACTTCACAGAAAAACAGTAACATCACAAAAACACTGACCAAAATATTCTGTCTCTGCCAAAGTGTGGGATTAGATTATTAATCTGGATTATTCTGTCAGAACACAGATTAAAGTCAACAGTATAATCAGACTGGTCAGTAACGGTCAGTAACGGTCAGTGGTTTGATGAGGCTCTGACTGACTGTAACTTTTAATGAAGGGTTAAGGTCAGAGGAGGAGCCTCATCAGTGTGTGAGACTCTTCTGATCTGTCTCTCACTCACTCACACACACACACACACACACACACACACACCCCCTAATGACCACATATCCAGTCACAGCACGGAGGTTTGATTCAGTAAAATGTGTTCAGTAAAGTTGACTTTCGCTGTTTTATTTTTAAATGTTTGAACAGATGTTTTTTTATAAACATGTTTGGTTCATTAATCATGATTTGGTTGTGACAGGATTCAAACTTTTCTTAACGAGTCTGACGAGTGGCCTTGATTAAAGACCGACCACAGTCTATATATCTATAACTATTATATTAACATTAATAATAAACTGTGTCTCAGGTGAAACTGTTTCAACTGAAACAAGTGAAAAGTTGAAACAGTTTCTACTTTAATCAAATTCCCAGATCAACAAACGAGGCTGAAGTTCCTGGGGTTTTTTTTTTCCCGTCTTGTTAAAAGCTCAGGTGCTGAGAAGACGACTGACACTGATCTGACAACTGACCACACAGACCAGACAGACCACGAAGAGTTAAACCGTGCTCTGCATCTCATTTCCAGGACACTTCAGCCTCAGGCTGTCTGATTCAAGCTCTAGGCTGACGTCTGTGACGCAGCACTGACCTCAGCTGGGGTTTCTCCACTGGACCAGATGTTTGACCACGACGTGACCGGACGTTAATAAAGCGTTAATAAATGTTTTTACAGCAGAAGGTTCTGTTGATTCTTCTTCTGTGGTTTTAACGAGCAGCTGAATCTGTCCACAGACACAGACACAGACGATGACAGACCATCATCTGGACATTAGTACCAGAACCTGAGACAGAGACAGTTGTAGCTCCAGCATCTCTACACACACACACACACACACACACCTACAGTGTATTCACCAATAAATTAGTGACAGCTCTGACCTTCACCATGACGGCCGGTCTGTGCCTCGTTACTCACTCAGTCAATTAAAGGGAAAAGACAGGAAGCCCTGTGTGTGTGTGTGTGTGTGTGTGTGTGTGTTCATTTAATGCAGGTCTATAGCACCTTGTTAGTAAAAAATAAAACTCACATTTTCCCGACTTTTCTCCTGTCGTCTCATACTTTCGTCATTGAACGTCACCAACCTCCTCTGCAGAGACGGCAGCTCCACGGGGACAAAGTCCAGGAAATGTCTTCAGTACTGAGCCGGGGGTGTCCATCTGGAATACAATGTACAATATATGTGAATATATGTGAATATATGTGAATATATGTGAATATATGTGAATATCGAGGATGTAATAAAACAATCATCACAATCATCACAGTTTGACGACAGTTACAAAAAAACTCAATATATTGACTATAATATTGCAGTATAACGGGTCGTATCAACAGATCCTTGACACACACACACACACACACACACACACACATCCTTAGTCAATATTAAAACAAAAAAAAAATCCTCAACAGTTCATTTGAATAAACAGAACAAATCACCTCAGGAGAAAAACTGAGGAGCTTCAGTGACACAAGAAAGACAACAAGCTCCCCCGGGGGACGAGTCTGTCAACACACACACACACACACACACGTCTCCACCATGAACTCTAAAATGTCACTCATTCTCTACCACAGTGACCCCTGTCAGACCAGGTCAGAGTTATCAGGCTGTCACACACACACACACACACACACTTGTTCTTATCCTGCCTCCTCAGTTTACTGTGACGTGGTGGTCTTGGTTCTGGTCCAGTCCACAGACTCACAGTCCTCTGGACCAGGTGTCTGGACCAGGTGTCACTCCAACACTGGTCTGTGTTGTTTAAATTATTTGCTTTTGAAATTTCATGCAAAATCGTGTATAGGATGACTGGCCACTACTGGCTGACACTGGTACTACACCAATCAGTGTGGACTTTGAAGGCTCGAATATTAAAGACTGGTTTTACATCTTTACCCCCCGTTTGCCCCCCCGTTTGCCCCACTCTTTGTCTCGTCCAGCTTCACACAGAAACATCTCCAAAGTTCAGGCTGATTAAAGTCCAAGCACACCAGAGCTGTGGGCCACATGACAGATGTGGCCCAGTGTCGGTGCATACCAATCAGACGGCTCCTAATGATCCGGGGTCATTCTGCTGCTGCTGCTGCTGCTGCTGCTGCTGCTGCTGCTCACTGACTCAGGGAGAACAGGGATCCCCACTGTCTGACTAACACACCTTCATTAGGACAAAAAGAAAATCCTCAGATTGAAGATCCTTCTCGTCAAAAGGAAACATTTGATTAAAGACATTTTAATCAGCCACAGATATCGGAGCCTGAGGTGGCGCTAATGAGTTCAGACACGGTCCTGATGTTTGGAACTGGAGGCTGAAGCAGTTTGAAGGATTAGACGTGACAGGAGGATGACAGCAGGTAATTATATCTTTACAGTCCATTTGGCTCACGCTGACCGAGACGGAACTCCTACAGCGCCCCCTAGGTCACGGCAGAGAAGGAGGGATCTGAACCAGCCTCAGACCACCACCTGCTCTTCTCCACCCAATCAGAGAGGGTTAGGATTTGGAACACCAGAACAGGACAAAGAACCACCATCGGCCTTGAACAGGTGACTCCATGCTGTCAGCTCAGGTTACTAATCACTGCTCCACCGCGCGGCCCCCAGACTGGACGTACAAATGGAGAAATATGAACACGGACCACGTCTGAACGACGTTACGTTTGTAGCAGGCGGTCAATAACGGACGGAGACCTTTGAAGGACCTTTGGATCTTTGACCACGTCAGACTCTGGACATTTGTCTGAGTTGGAAAAAAAGACGTATTTTAAAAAAGCAGTTTTTAATACAATTATACTGTATTTTATATATGTTGAGTCAAAAAGTTTTAAATCGTTATTTATAAAAAATGAATTTTGATTCATTTTCTACTCATTTTAAATTAAATTTATTAGAGGTTTTGAAATATAAGACTGTATGTGTGTGTGTGTGTTAATTTATATCTTCATATATTTGAGTGTTTGGTCTGGATGTGTGTGTGTGTGTGTCTCGGTCCGCCCCTGTTGAACAAGTACCTCAGCAGCAGCAGCAGTCACGTGACACAGGCTTCTGATTTTTTTAATGGAGAGACCACCACTGCCCACATCACTGTAGTCGGGCTGACTCACCGGCGTCGCTGTGACGTCAGCGGGCAGTGAGTATAAAAGCTCAGAGACAAAGTTCTTCTCTCATACCTCCAGAACCCACCTCCGTTCCTACAGTCACTGCTGCACGAACCCGAGAACCAGAGTCGGAACCAGAGTCTGAACCAGAGCACACAGCCGGAACCAAACAGTGGAATTTGGACTTCAAGGTGAGTGACGTAGACGGTCAGAGAGAGGAGTGAAGGGACAGGTGGAGGGCTGCTCTCAGAGAGCTTTATTATTATTGTTATTATTGTTATTATTTAAATATTACTTTTCTTCTATTTACTCAGTAAAACTACAGAATAAAACATCAGTTCTGTTACCACCTGCTAACAGAACCGTTCTGTCCATCCTCTAACACGGAGTTCATCTGAGGTTTTTAGATTCATTTCTGAATCATTCTTTTCTTCCTCCACAGACTCCAGATGACGACCATGAGGTCGACGTGTCTTCTGCTCCTGGCCTCCGTGTGGTTCTGTCACCGGGGCCACACCGTGGGTCAGAACCTTCCGTCTGAGGACCAGACTGAGAGAAGAACCATCGACGAGCTGCTGCTGGACAGAGCGGAGAGTCTCCTGCTGAGCTCCATTCTCCAGCAGGTGCAGGACGGAGACGACAGAGACGGTGGGTCAAACTCTGGGTTCGTTGGTGACTGGTACCTGGTACCAGGTGAATGTTGCTGGTATTAGTTATAGTTAGTTATCATGAAGAGCAGTCTGCGTAAAAACCGAGCCAAATCCACTGTAATCCACTGTAATCACTATAATCCACTATAATCCACTGATGAACAGACGACATCATTGAAATTCTTTTTTTTAATTCTGTCCTAAAATTTTTATTATTATTATTATTATTTTGTCCTAAATCCACAGCGCTGCAGATTCGCGCGCACGGAAAAACTTCCCGCTGTTTGAGGCGGACTGACTGTTGAGGAATTAAGACATAAAAAAGTGATAACGTATTTTAAAATTCATATTTAAATTCATATTAATTTATATTATTTATAGTTTGAAAGCGTTAAACCAGGTTTGTTGATCAAACGGGTTGTCAATCAGCGCTGTGCGTAAAATGACGCGTAAACAGACGATTTTGGTTAAAAATCAAAATTTTAAAATGCGCTGGAAAAGATAAAATGTCATCATTCTGGTGGAACAGTCGTCATAGATTTTATTTTCTGCTAAAACCGAACTATTGTGTGTTTTCCTCCCTGCAGACGGCTTCTCCGCTCAGCCTCAGGACTGGGTGACCAAACGACAACACTGGGGGAAGAGGTTCGACGACGGGCTGGACAAGAGACAGCATCCAGGGAGGAGAGAGGAGGACGGGGGTGAGCAGTACCTGGACCTCCACCGGCGGCAGCACCCGGGAAAACGCGACGACGAAACGCACTCATTCCTGGAGCTCCAGAAACGGCAGCACCCGGGAAAGCGCAGCACCTCGACCCACCTCCACGAAGACCCCGTGCTGGTGTTCGCTGGACTTTCTAAACGACAGCATCCCGGCAAACGCTACCTGATGCTGCACAGCAAACGGCAGCACCCGGGCAGGCGCCTGGTGGAGGAGGGTGAGGGTGAGGATGAGGACGGGGTCTGGGCCGCGGCTCTAGGTGGAAGCCAGGAGGAGCTGGAGGAGGAGCTGGACAAGCGGCAGCATCCAGGGAAGAGGTTTTGGGACAACTCCAGTCCCGACTTGGACACAAACAGTCCCTGTGACGTGTTGGACACGACGGGCTGCAGCAGAGCGAACCTGCTGCTCGACTTTTTAGATCAGTTGAACAGGAGTCACGACGAGGAGAAGAGACAACACCCGGGTAAGAGGCTGGCACCGGCGGAGGACTTAGTCCCGGCAGAGTGACGTCTGCTGGGTCACGGCCACACGAGTGTAAATGAAGTGATCAGTGAAATCAGTTGTCATTAAAATAACCAGTTCACTTTACCTGTGTCTGTGTCTGTGCGGCTCTTCTCTCTAGTCAGTGACCACAGTGACCACAGTGACCACAGTGACCACAGTGACCACTTCAATCAGACGGTGACGGTTGAAACTGTTCAACCAAAACTCACAACAACGGACTTTAACACGAGTTTATATTAACAATAAAAACAGAAAAGGTTTTAAATTATTATTGAAAACCAAATTAAATCACAGACGGAGGAAAAAAAAACCGGAAGAAATCTGTGAGGGGGGGCGGGGGGTCATCAGACCAACATATATGTACTGTAATATATATATAAATATGGAGTACAGTCAGACTACAGTCAGACTACAGACAGACGACAGACAGACTGCAGTCAGACTACAGACAGACTACAGACAGACTGCAGTCGGACTACAGTCAGACTACAGACAGACTACAGTCAGACTACAGTCGGACTACAGTCGGACTACAGTCGGACTACAGTAGAACCGGGCTGTGATGGACCACCACACCGCCCTTCAGTCACGTCTTTCATACGTTTTACAGCTTTAACTGTTTCAAACGTAAACAAACGGGAGAAAAGTGTAAAGACTTGATCAGGGCAGACAGCAGGGGGCGGTAAAAAAGAAAGGTAGAGGGAGGCGGGGTGAGGTGGTGGAGACCCCGAAGAGAGACTGGGGCAAATATACTGTAAGTCATGTCAGAATAAAAGAACCCAGAGAGAGCAGTTCTAGAAGGTTCTTTATCACAGCTCGGTGTTCAGGTTCAACACAACAGAAACTGCACATAAATATATCATATAATATTCAATAATATACACACTTCAAACCGACGTAAATGTACTGATAATTTTAACAACATATTACGGTAAAGAACTTTTAAAACCCCATCGACAGGCAGACATTTTTACAGTCCCGTCTCCTCCGGTCAGAGGAGAAACTCCGACCACAGAGAGACACTTGGTCAACGGTTCGAATCTCAAACACTACCGTGGGAACCACCCGTCTGTTTCACTCCATAAATACACGTTAAAATACTCGGTACTGTTAGTACTGTACTCACCTACATCACCGTGGTATCCTCCATCATCACCAGGTCCCGGGCACCGACACCGACGTCGACACCGACGCCGACACCAGTCGTGGTCCGGCTCCGGTTGTACCGAGGCAAACACCAGTCGTGGTCCGGCTCCGGTTGTCGACTTTTCTCCTCGGACTCCACGGTGTCAACAGTTCACAGAACCGTTTGTTATTGTTTTGTGTCGTTTCCTCCAGTATTTTTCTTCTTTTCTTCCGCTCGAACAACTTCAGACTCATCTTACTCGAAACGCGGCAAAAAGTTTGTGTTTCTTGTGTGTTCCTGAATCCCGCACCTGCGCAGTAAGACGGAACAGTCCATCGTATGACGGGGGTGGAGGGGTGGTGGGGGGCGAACCATCATGATGACATTTAAATGTAGTTACGTGAATAGATTAGAAGAAGAAATGACTTTAAATGACTTTTAAACCGAATATAAATCTTCAGGACAACCGTGAGTGGAAGGAGTTTTGTTGCTGCAACAATATTGAAATATAAACCAAATATAAGTTAATGAAGAATTAAAAAAAAAGACTTTGAAGAGTACTAAGAAAACACTCCACACAAATATCAAATATTTCACAGTAAACAAGAACTTTGCAAAAATATGGGAGGAGGTTCTGTGGAGCTAATAAACCAATGAAAACTCCTAGTGACCTGTGATTGGACCAGTCACAGATCAGAATATTCTGAATATTTGTCTCATTATAAAAACCTGACAGAACTAAACCAGGTGCAGTGAAAAACCAGACCAGTTTAATGCCTGTTACTTTAAACTTTATTTGATAACAAAAGATCTGGTAATAACAAAATGATCGATTTCACAAATCACTTTTCTTAAACAGCACATCATCTCTATTTTTTTCATTTTTTTCCTTCTTTTTTTTCAATTTTTTTTAAGTAATTCTCCTCCTCCTCCGACTGTTGCTGAGACCTGTGAATAATAAAGACATGGATTAGTTACTGACACAGAAGAGTTCACTCTGTGATTCATGTTTGTCTGGAGCTCATTTTGTTTAAAAAAAAAAAAAAAAAATCATATATTGTGAATAAAAAAAAATGTGAATCTTATATCGTGAGTTTGACCTACGACCCCGAAAAATCATATCGTGAATAAAACAAAAAGTGAATCTTATCATATCGTGAGTTTGACCTACGACCCCGACATAAACTGTGTCCAACCTCATCTCGCGGTCATTTCTTGGTGGAACATTCCTTTGCCTGGTGAGCCTGTAGGACTGCAACAGCTTCATCCACCTGACAAGACAGAGAAGAGAGACCAGAGTTCCTCCATCCATCCATCCATCCATCCATCCATCCATCCATCCATCCATCCTGTCCCTGCTCAGTTCCACCTGCTCCTCTGTCTGGTCTGAAACTTTAAATGTTCTTCCACAGATATAAAAACTCAGATGGTTCTGGGTCAGAACCTGTTTGGTTGAACGCCCTCCTGTGTTCAGCCTGGCCCACACAGGGTCCTGACCTTTGACCCACCTTGGAGTGCAGGGACTCGGGCGACTCCAGCATGTGCAGCAGCTCAGAGTTGTCGATCTCCAGCAGCATCCCAGTGATCTTCCCGGCCATGCTGGGGTGCAGGGCATGGATCAGTGGATACAGTCGCTCACCTGTGTGACAGCGGGAGAGCAGCACATCCTGACACACCTGACGTTTCCAGGCAGTTAAAAACACAAAGACAGAATCACAGCAGGCCTCACCCAGAAGCTGCTTCTGGTCCATGAGTGGAGCTGCAGCCAGTTTGGAGGCAGTGAGCGGCTCCAGAGCTGGAACATAAACGCTCGGTTCCATCACCGGCGCTGGAACCATCTGGGGGAAAAAAAATTAAATATTCACTGTTAAAAAATATGTTAGTCCAATGTAAGAAAATCAACATTTTTTCGTCCATCTGGTCCAAGTTCTTTATTCTCAAACTAGAGCTGTGGATCAGCAAGAACCTGTCGATACGATACAAGGGCAATGGTACGATACATCAGGCTATACTGTGATACAGTGTAGCTGTAGTCAGAGTCTGATCCTAGTCTCAGACTCTGCCCCCCCCCAGTGTGATCCTAGTCTCAGACTCTGTTCCATCTGAACATCAGTTCCTAACTCTGGAACAGAGGGATCTACATTTGGAATCACTAGAGAAGAAAGAAGAGAAAAAGAACATGAACCAACACCAGGAATATTGGACTGGGAATTGGTGAGAAAAAAAAATCAATGACTGAGGACATTGATCTGGGATCGTGTATCGATATGTTCTTACAGTCCTGCTCCAACTGCAACAATATTCAGTGTCTCTGAGGAACCAAGACTGTCAGTGGTCAACAGACATTGATCAACAGACATTGATCAACAGACTTCAGTACTGAGACAGTCGGCCAATCAGCTGTGACTCCAGCTTCCTGGTTTCCACCGACCTGTAGCCTTGTTGGAGCAGGTGCAGACAGCTGCTGTGGGTTCCTCACTGCAGACGAGTACTTGTACTGGTTAGTCCTGATCACAGAGGGCACATCTGTACGGCCCCCCCCAGTCTGGGTCCCAATGTTGTCTAAACAAGAGTCAGTGGTGAAGTGACTGATCCTCAATCAACAGACTCAAACAGCTGAAGGTTCTTACTCATCCTCTGTGAAGAACCCATGACGCGCGGAGCCTGAGTGGAGGCCTGTCTGACCGTAGCGATGGTCGGTGATCCACGTCGAACAGAGTTCCCAAACATCTGGTTTGAGTGGAGGCCTAAACAATGACACGGTTATGAAAACATTTTGGGAAGAAATATAATACAACATATATTCAAACTGTTCATCAGTGAAGCTGTGACGACGCGTCGTGAATCGCTTTGAAATGGTGAGTCAAAAAGTCACTGGTTATACCAGGACACTACACACTCTAATACAGTAGGTGGCAGTGTGTGCCTAAAAACATCGGTTGTGACCCAGTATTAAACCCAGACGTCAGGTCCCTACGTGACGTTCAGGTGTCGAAACAGAACGTGGGAAGAACCCGTTCCACAGACACCAACAGTGAGTTCCTGTAAAGAAAGGAACTGAAAAGATAAGCAGCTAAAGGGGCTACACGTGGCCCGGGAGCCGCAGGTTTGAGTCTTTAGTGTCCAACAGTCCGGTCTTTCCAGGGGTGTCTCCGGTGTGTCCTCTACCTTGTGGTCTCTGCGGCTGTCCTGCCCAGTGAGGAGCTGCTCTCATGCTGCTCACAGCGCTGTGGTTGTAGAAGGAGCGACTGGGAGGCTGACAGGAGGAGAACGCTCTTAGACCAACAGCCTTTAAATCATCTGCAGTTTTTTAAGATGTAAACTCTCAAAATCACAGCTTTTGAATTTGTGTTAGATTTTGTAAAGAACCATGTAATTAATCACAGAACGTAATCTGCATAGAGATTGTCTTCATTTCCCAGCAGTCATCACTTCATCAGTGTGACTGACAGACCAGACGATGGCGCCTGACGTGACCATTACAGTCGTCTGACAGAGAAAACAGAATGGTTCTGGTTCTGGTTCTGGTTCTGTACCTGTGGCACGGTCATGTAGTACCCCGTCTGGTGGAAGGAGTCGATGACGGGGTTGGGCATGGACCTGAGTGAGGCCAGTCTCTGCATGTACTTGTTGGTGAGTATGGCTTTACGCTCCTCCCTCCGCTGGGCCAGAGCCACGTACAGAGGTTTGGTGGCAACGATTCTCCCGTTCATCTCCGTCACCGCCTTCGTTGCCTCCTCGGGTGAAGAGAAGCAGACGAATCCAAAGCCTTTGCTCTGAGAACCATCTGTCATTACCTGCGAAGAGACCAGAGGTGGTTCAAGACCCCAGAGACGGGCGAGTGGTCGCTCATTACAGGCTGCGTTTACCTTGGCACTGGTGATGGTGCCGTAGGGAGCGAACTCCTTCCGCAGTCTGTCGTCATCGATGGTGTCGTCCAAGTTCTTAACGTAGAGATTCACTCCCTAAAGAACATACATCCAGACCACAGCAGAGACAGAACGTTCACTAATCAAATCTGAAACATCAAAAATAATCTGCATGGAACAGAAAGTCACGCAGGTTCAACAGGGACGTTTGGTTCTGAACACAGCCGTACCTGGTAGCGCTGGATGCGGTCCTGTTTGATCTGGTCAAACCTGCGTTTAAGTTCTCCCTGACGTTCCACGCGTTTCTGAGCTCGACCCACATACAGGACTTTTCTGTTGAGCTCCTTCCCATTCATTTCCTCCACTGCCTGAGAAACAAAACTGTGACGTCAACGGCAGGTTTATTTGGTCATTCTGTCTAACTAACTTAGACTAACTAACTAGTCATCCACTGTACAACGTTCAGTCAAAAACACTTATGACAATAAAACTGGTCAAAGGTGTTGACCCAGGGGCTAACGCTGTTTTATTTATCTATAAACCCTTAAAAATGTTACAATATTTGTGATTTGCTATTCATTATTGAAAAACGAACTTATTGATTTTTTAAAAATCACATCTCGTCCTTGGTGGTAACAGAACCAAGTGTCCAGTCAACGTGGACATCTACTCTACCTTTTGAGCATCATCGTGGTTAGCAAAGTTAACAAAGCCAAATCCTCTGGACAGTCCAGTCTCGTCCTTCATCACTCGTACACTCAAGGTTCTACCTGAGTGTAGTTGGATTCAAACGGTCAGAGTTTCATCAGTCTTCAGCAGGTGGTCAAACCAACAACAGAATAAACCAAGGAGCTGCTCACCAAATGGGGAGAAGAGAACCTTGAGTTTGTCGTCGGTGCAGTCCTCACCAAAGTTTTTAATGTAGACGTTGGTGAACTTCATGGCTTTGGTTCCAACTTCTACCTCTCTCTCTTTACGGGACTTGAAGTGGCCGACAAAACTGCACACAGAAATAAGAGTGTAAATATTTCCACGTCTCGTTGCGGTCGTTGTCCGAGGTTTGATCCACTCACACTTTCCTGTCATTGAGCAGCATCCCGTTCATGGTCTCGATGGCGCGGTTGGCGGCCTGCTGGGTCTCAAAATGGACAAACCCGTAGCCTTTGGACCCGTTTTCATCACAGACCACCTACAGAACAACAACTGTTTATACGACTGTCACACACAGAGGCAGATTTTCTGTGAAAATATATAATTATACATGAGAGGGTTTTTCTGTGTCAAACGCCGTCGGCCGACTAACCTTACAGGATAGAATATTTCCAAAGGCTGAGAAGGTGTCATACAGGGCCTTGTTGTCAATGGACTCGTCAATATTCTTGATGAAGATGTTGCCCACACCAGACTTCCTCAGTCCGGGGTCTCGCTGTGACCACATTATTCTAATTGGTCGACCTTTGAGGACGTCGTAGTTCATCGTATCCAGAGCGCACTCCGCTGAAACAACACGGAGAAAAAAAAAAAAGACAAATTACTGTTCAACTGTGTGACTGTCGTTTCTGTGGGTAGAAAAAAAAACAGACAAGCAAACGCAGATGTTTGTGTAACAAATGTACGTGTGACCTTTGACCTCACCATCAGCGGGCTGCTGAAAGTTTATGTAGGCATATCCCAGAGACCTGCGTGTGATGATGTCTCTGCACACACGGATGGACATGATGGGTCCAGCAGCAGAGAACTTCTGGTACAGCATGGCCTCGGTGACGTCAGCGTGCAGGTCTCCTACGTACAGAGAGGCCAGAGGATAGGCCAGCCCGCTGTTCATCCTGACTCACAGCTGCGTCACAAAACAAACAAACAAACAAACAAACAAACAAACAAACAAAACGAGAGGTGTATGTTAATCTGCAGACGTTCACACGAACAGAAACACAAACATTCACTGCTGTTCAGAACCAGGAGGAGAAGAGGAACAAACTGAAAACAACTGCCTACCCCCTACAGGGATTCCGGTTTCAGTGACGTCACTGTTCACCGCCGGATGTTTCTGTAAAAACCGAAGCTTTGACGTCACACAGCGATGACACAAAAAAAAGTTACTTAAAAGAAGGAGGCGACAGTGAGTTTCCTGGACTGACTGATTGGTCCGTTATACAACAAACAAAGGCCGCTCACACGGTGAGCTGATTGGTCTACTTAGACCGACCAATCAGATGCTCTCTCTCTCTGAACAGGCAGGTAAAAATCACCTTCCCTCCTTCGTGCGCGCGCTACGGTCAGACGTCCACAGATTGTGCTTCGTGTGCGCGCTCTCGTTTGTTCACTCTTGATTCTGGGAAATTTAATTTATGAAAGGATGAAAAAAACTGTCAATAAAAGTGTCAACAAGCGGGAAACTACTGGAACTTTCTGGGAAACAAACAACGTTTGTCTGACGTTGGGCCAAACTTGATGTTGAGAACAAACATGTTCACGTTTAAGCTAACGCTAGTTGAACTGACCGAGTGACTTTACAGGATAAAACCGTCGATTCCACTAACATTCCAGGAGATGTTATTATTCAATCAACACAGTGAAGCTGTTTAACACAGAACTACTACACCGAGTTCAAGTGAACGTAGCCTCGACCACAACCGATAAAAAGTCGAAAATGTGAACGTGGTGAAATGTTTACTTACAGCTTTTAAATGACCGGGGCGTCAGCGTGCGAACTCCGTGTGAACCGCCTTCACCTCCAGCATGTCGCCAAGTTTTTCTTTAATTGTGACCGTGGAACACCTGCAGCTCTCGGCCCCACAACTTCAATCATGATGATGGAGTCACGGGAGCAGTGTCCCTCCGCAACAAAAGATAGACCCTCAGATATTATAGACCGCAGTTTGGAAGTATTTCCCCGGTGCTTCTGTATGAAGAGATACTTTGAACAGATACTTTATTTTAATAATTGTTACTTTTTAGAGAGCGATAGTATTTTCACAATGTATCAAAAAAAACAACAGCACAAGTTTAAACTTTAAAAAAAATACATTGGTCAAAAATGTTAAGGATCATTCACTTAAAAAAATAACACAATATACTGTACCAGTTGTTCACAAACTGTTGTATACGTTACCACTGGGAGTCCTTGGGCTCCCTCTGGTGGTGAATGTGGTGTATGTTCTTTGTGATGAAAATAAAATATATTTCTGTTTTCAGTCTTAGGTACTGTATATGTGTATATATATATATATATATATATGTGTGTGTGTGTGTGTGTGTAGCCTCTCCTTATTTGCAGCCTTTTATGTTTTCATGTTTTTAAAGTAAAAACAGAGAACCAGACTTGTACGTTAGAGGTGAAAACAGAAGCAGACGTGACATATCTTAAAACGAAAATTTTATTTCACTGAATGGTCTTTGACACTTTCCTATTTCTTACATGTATAGTTAAACTAGAACGGTTTTAAAGATACATAAACACAAAGCTAGAATTACACCAACCATTGTTTATCTCCATTTCTTCATTGCTTTTTCAGTACTAATCTAAATTTTCACAACCACATGTGTGCACTGGGTAATAGACTGTTACAGAAGCGAATTTTAGCCATAAGACTTGTCAGTAAAAACAAAGCAAGTAAATACCTGATATACAGACAGGCTTCGTTCCACATTCACTAACTGCGTTGTCATCAAGCATAATGATAAAACTGCCATCATTTTAATAACCTTTTTTTTTTAAACAGAAGATTCTTCAATTTTGGAGCATTGAAAAGAGACTGTCAGCTATAACATGGAATGATGCCTTCAACTACAATATGTGGAATGTAGTGGTGATACGTGGTACTGTGACACTGAGCTTCTTCCAAACGCCAATTTCTATATACGAGAGTTGACTCTTTTTTTTTTAAACCCACAACTGTAGCAGTGAAGCAAAAGTTGGATCAACGTTGACCAGTATGGACTTGGTCTAGTCTAACTTGTTTGTGTTTAGTTTTCTAGGACATGAGCAGATGCTGCTGCCACCTAAAGGAAACAAAGGCTGCAAGAGAAAAGCCAGGCACAACTTTTTTTTTTTAGGGGGATAAAACAACCGCTTTGAGGAGGAGGAGGAGGAGGAGGAAGAGGAAGAGGAGTTTGCAGGCAGGATGGGAACAGTATATGAGAAAGACATTTTCATTGAACATCATTAAAAAGGTTACTTCAGGTTTTACTAACACATGATAGTCAGTCTTGCAAAACAAATCCAAAACCAAATTTACGCACATACAACTTCCACTGTAGGAAAAACAAACAGCACCTGAACAGTGAGTACAACTAGAACAACAACTCATTAGTCTTAAAAATTACCACATACACACACACACTCGCACACACTCAACCCCCCCCCACACACACACCAAAGCAGCACTGCCTTTTTAAAAGCCAAATAATGTGGAATGTCTTGTGGGATGGTGGACTTTCAAACTCTGAATTTGTACTTTAGAACAAGAAGCAACACAGCCAGATGTCAGTGTCACAATACAGCCGTCCCTGTTCTGTATGAGCTCTCAGCAGAATTGCAGTTAGATGAATACAGGATTGTTTGCATGTCTGGAAGAATTTCAACACAAATCTGAATTGAGGTGTGAAACAGAAGGAACGCCTACATCACAGTGTTTGGTGGAAATCGACTGCAGGTTCAATTACCGTACAATAAGACCTGGAAATGTCACCAGGAATCACAAATAAGAAAAGTAACACAAATGGGAAGGGGAGTAAACAATAAACCGGATTGAGAACAATGAAATTTGAAAGGGCAATTAAATTCACAACACCCCCCTCCCTCCCTCGCCCCCTCGTTCACACTTAAATCAGTCACGGCACACAGACTGACACGAGTAGCCGACAAACACAACAGCAACATGGACGCACTAATCAACTGAACATGTTTACACAGAGTGGCTGAATTTGCTAACAACTGAAAATGACCCTGTCACCTCGGAGTGAACCGAGAGGTGAGAAACTACTTGGTCAGGAGCAATTCAGGCTGCTTGTCATACAGAAGTGGGAGGGGCCAATGCAGTGGAGAGGGATGTATATAAGCTGTCTGTGTTTAAGATACGAGTGGAGGTGGATAAACAGTGCAATATCTTTAGTTTTCTCCATCTCCGGTCTCTGCCTCATCTGCCTGGTTTTCTGATGTCCACAGCTGAGGACAGAAGACAGGGAGCAGCGTTAGGAACAGGCCTCAGTCAACAGAGACATTTGAACAGCACGTGCTTCAACACTCACAGTCAGGTTGTCCCTTAGTAGTTGCATGATCAGGGTGCTGTCTTTGTAGGACTCTTCATTCAAAGTGTCAAGTTCAGCAATGGCTTCATCAAATGCCTGAAAACACACAAAAAAAAAGTCAAAGTGCAGTCCGTTGAGTCGGGCCGACACCGTTCTGTGTGGACTTAAAATGTTACGCTGAAGTCAGACTCCAGGTCGTACCGTTTTAGCCAAGCTGCAGGCCTTGTCAGGGTTGTTGAGGATTTCATAGTAAAAGACGGAGAAGTTGAGGGCCAGACCGAGCCTTATGGGGTGTGTGGGCTGCATGTCCGCCTTGCTAATCTCAAACGCTTGCTGATAGGCCTGCTGGGAGTTGTCCACTGTATCTGTAAAAGCAAATCACGACATTGAAAATCCATTATCACATCAAACATGCCAACGTTGACGTAAAGAAGGATTCTGGGAAACCTGCTCTAACACGGAAGTCGTCACTTACCCTTCTTAGAGTCCCCAGATGCCACCTCAGACAGGTATCTGTAATAGTCTCCTTTCATTTTCAGGTAGAACACCTTGCTTTCGTGGTTTACCGCATTAGCGATTAGATGGTTGTCCAGTAGGCCCTAAAGACATGAACGTTTTTTTTTTTGATGAACATAATAAAATACTAGTGAACGGTTTTTTGATGAACATAATAAAATACTAAAATGAACGTTTTTTTGATGAACATAATAAAATACTAAAACCCTGGACTTTACAGGTGATACCTGCGACCTGTTTGACAGACAACACCAGACGAGACGGCCTTACCAGCACATCGTTGCAGATTTCCTGCAGCTCACACTCGATCTTCTCCCGGTATTCACGCGCCATCGCAGATTTCTTCTCGTTGCCTTCGGACTTCTGCTCGATGCTGGAGATGACGCGCCAAGATGAGCGGCGTGCTCCCACCACATTCTTGTAGGCAACAGACAGAAGGTTGCGGTCCTCGTTCGACAGGTCACCTCCCTGCTCCGTCACCGACTTCATGGCGGCGGCCATGTCGTCGTAACGCTCAGCCTGCTCAGCAAGCTTGGCTTTCTGTACCAGATCATTCTTTTCCATTTTCTAACCTGATGAAGAGAAACAGAAGACACTTTGTAAATGTAACCAAATATATACTTACTGTGCAGCTGACAGTGTACAATGACATCACACACCGTGGCAAAACAGAGCGCGGTCAGTTCTTTACTGTGAATTTCTTCCATAATGTTGGGAAAAAAACAAGACAAAAAAACTACAAATGTAGACGACTGTCATTAATACGTGTTTATTCAAAGTTCCTCAGCCGGGCTGCTGTGTTCAGCTCATGGAAGAATGAGAAGCCAATTCTTTATTATCATCACATGATCAACAGTAATCAATAACCAATTATGTGGAGTCATTAGAGGATCTTTGTCCGCATCACAATACATCCACGTCACATGTTCCTCATACAGTCCTCAGAATTATATTCTGTTGCTCATTTGGAACAGTCTGCAAAAGTTTGAATTTATTTATTTGAAAACATTTGATTAAATCAGTCAATATAAACTTCGACTGAAATAATCAAATACAGAATAAACTGTTTTTTCATTCTGTAATAATAGATTCAAATTCAGTCTATTTCATGGAGTTGATCTCTGTATATATTCCGTCTGCATTATAATAAATTATTCTGTCATACCGCAGCGTAAGACAAAGCAGAAAGATATTAATAATTAAACGCTATTTATTGACATACTGATGTCAAATGTGATTATTACATGGGCTCAAATAAATGGTAACGTTGTTTTTTTCTACATTTATTGGTTGATCTAATCGAAATCGAGCCGCTACGAACTGGGCCCACAGGCAACTGGGTCAACCATTCACATCGCCTGCTAAAGGCTAACTGCTAGCTAGGAGTGATGCACCGATCCCGTCTACTACACAGTCGGACCCAGGTCGGGATGACAGAGGAGCGAATCCAATTCGCCTTCACACGGTGTGAGACGATAACAGTGTGAAATTAAGTAACGCCTTTTCATCCCGGGTGGTTGCGGCAGCGGACTAAGCCATCCCGGGTCAGACTGTAATGCCCTCGCCCCTGATGCTAGGCTCAGAGATGCTAAACGTTATCGTTTTCACAACAATAATCGAAACCGTAAAATATTGTTTTACTAACATTTAATCTGACGCAACGATTGCTGTTATTGTATCTTATTGTATTTATTAATATGATAACAAATAGCCAAGCGGCTAGTAGCCATTCAGCCGCTCTTGTCCGACGGGTCTCTCCCGCTGTATAACGGACCAGGCTAGGCCAGCTCACGTAAAGCTAAACTTTCATGTAATAAAGCACGGTCGGAGAAAATATGGAGACAAAATATGTCGTTTGGAAATGAAATATAAATACCAAACAGCTTCTGTTTATTGAACGACGACTTTCTTCCTATTAACCGCTGAGCGACGGCCGGGCCCTGCAGCAGAGCCTGTCAGAACAAAGTGTCATGGAATCCGCTATCGATAGCTAGTTAGCCACCAGCTAATACCGAGCTGCACCGTTAGCGCGGCGGGTTCCATACCGTTTTCGAGCCAACACGCTGTCAAGGCCAATACAGTGTCGAAATGGGAATGTCGTACGGCTTCTATATAACACCGTCTCGAACTGCGTTGCCACTATACTTACAATAAGGGCGACGTTCAGTCGAGATTTTATCGCTGTCTCTCTCTGGACGATGCAGCCTCCGTCCTCCGTAGGGTCAGCGTATCGTTCTGGGCAGTACCACTTCCGCTACACAGGCACTTGTTTCCTCTTCCCTCCGTGTTGACGAACGCAGTCCTCGTTCTGTGCTCAGTGACACACAATGATATTTTTAAACCGACACTTCACTTTCACTGAAAATACGAGTGGATTTGAATGACTGCTCAGGTCTACGGACCAGCACAGACGAACACAGGTGCTCAGAAGTTAAACTGACTGAGTTTTTACAACACGTCTATTCATACAAATGTATGAATTACAAAATGTCCGTTATACAACATGAACACCACTGTTCACCCTCCACTTCTGACGCTGTACCTTTTTAGATGTGACGTTTACACAGTGATGGTTATCATCTGTTTCTACACAGCGTTCAGCCCAGGTTAGCTGCTGTGTCTGTGGGCGACTGATGTGACGACGTCTGTAATATTCAAATGCCTTTCTGTCCGACGGCTCCTCTTCTCCATTGATATTGTTTCCCGTGTTATTAGAGATAAGTGTGAGGTAACCTTTGAAGTGCACACAGAAAGACGTGTCCTTTGATGTGTTCCAGCTAAAGCTTCTGAAACACAAACATGACAACAGTGGATTCACTCACTCTTCTGTCTACATGTGTCAGCAGCACAGGTTGTTGTTGGACTGTTATTTAAATAAAGACAACTATATATTTAGAGCTAGTCTTAGTTTAATCGCTACATAAATAAAACAACTGAATTGCCTAAAGATAAATCATAAAATTCAGACTCATGGAGACCTGGGGGGTTGGATGACCCTGAGCTGGGTCACATGTACTGTAGAGACAGGACAGCTAAAAGACACGGCTAGGCTAAGGTAGTTAGCAGTGTTAGCCTGGCCCAACCATAACATCTGTAACAGCAACCCTACAACACCGTCTGCTGTACTAGCACAGTGCTAACATGCTAATAGTAAAATCATACATTCTCTGTTGAAACATCATCCCTTGTTTTCAATGGAAAATCAGTCGTAGCCTAAAGTTTTATTTTGGTGGTAAAAAATGTTTTGATCTAGTTTACAAAATAACTTAATTAAAAACATACTGGTATTTGTGAACGATACAAGACTTTGATGTCGTCCCACCTTTAGACCGGGGGGAGGGGGGGGGCAACATGCCTCCTGCTGACACTCCAAAAAAGAAGAAGAAAAGATTAAATAATAATAATTATACACTTAATATTCAACCATAACAACTGAAGTAAACAGCGAACACTTCCCCTTTAAGAACACATTAGGAACAGCCTCACACACAGGTTTCTTTTTCCAGTCCACTGCTTGCTTTGGCAGTTCAGTCCAGAAAGGTTGTTTTTTTTCTGCCACCAGTTACAGGAACCTGAGTCTACGATGGTTTTTCCAGGGAAAACATTCTTTTGGAAGTGAGCTCAGAGCCAGCTTTCACCTTGTATTCACTTCAACATAGGAATACTACTACACACACACACAGGTCGTACAGCCAACTGTAACCAACTTCATCTTATTAGAACCATTGACAACAACAGGAAGTGGTCACTAATCATGTCTTCAGTGTCTCAGCGTCCGTCCTTGTCCAACTGATAACACATTGAATCCATCACTGACTCCTGGACTCCGGGCCAGTTTGGCTCAGACGTCCCACACTTCTGGTCCTTGTCATTAATGTTCAGTCCAACATTTTTAACTTCTTCAGCCTGCAGCTCCATGGCTGAAGGACGGAGCTCCTGCACCCAGGGGGCAGCGGAGAGCAGCCCACTGCCCCCGGTTCACAGATGGGGTACATACACAGGACACAGCTGTAGGAGGTGCAGTATGTTTGTGTTGATGTTGTTGTTGTGATGGAGACGTTGGTCTTCGTCTGTGAATTTAGAGTCTGTTTCCATCAGGACGGTGGTTTGTCTCACCTCAGAGAAGTCCACATGAAACACAAGCAGCACATATTGAGTTAACGTCTGGTTCCTTGACTTACTCAGCCGTGTATTGGCAGCTATATAAAAACTGAATGGAAAATTTTCTTTCTCACTTGTACCTCTGATTCCAGCCGTGCAGAAACACACGCTCTGCCTCCTCCCAGGCACCATGATGCAATTAAGGACTTTAATTCTCACGTCTCTGCTGCTCCCATGGATGTTTCTATCTGCAGCCAAGGACGAGCGCGTGCACCCGAGGAGGTCGAAGGTAAGAACTGGGACTGAGGCTGAGGCAGGAGAGCAGGTCGGAGCTGCTGCTGCTGCTGCGACTGAACATTTCTGTGATTTCTCTGCAGACAGGCATCAATCGTTCTCCAGCTCAGGACGTTCCTCAGAGTTCAGAGCCAGCCAGTCAGACGAGCCACGGTAACCAGTTTGATTTCAGCCGAGAGACGGTTTCACAGTTTCTAATGCCTGTTTTCACATTTTTGTGAATTAGCTGTTATGCAATAGGAGGTTGGTCACGTGTCCAGTTCCATCTGTGGGACCAATCAGAGCAGTGGTTCTCAAACTTACACACAGAGTCTGGCCCAACTTTAATGACAGAATTTACAGGTTCTGTACGGACGCTCAGATCTGATGGATATTAGTCAAACTACGGACAGAGGAAGTCCACGGAGGACGAGGCCAAATCAAAAACCAGTCTACACCCAACTCTCACACACACACACTCACACACACACACTCACAAACACACAACAGAGAACATTCCGGCTCTTTTCCCACTTCATTCTTCAGAGCTCCAGTTTGGAGCCAACGCTGCAGTGGTCTGGAGGTTTTTACTCCACTGTGTTCATTACATCATGAACCACTACAGGCAGCCCACAGATCCATGGGGGGGACGTGTACCACAGTTTGAGAACCACTGAGGAAGACCCTTTAGAACAGAACAGAAAATTAGGAACAAAGCAAAGATGAAACTCCAGGTGCTGTCGTTTCAGAGCTGCCCACGTGTCTGCTGTGTGTCTGCCTGACTGGATCGGTCTACTGTGAGGAAGTGACCCCTGACATGACCGCCGTCCCGGCGCTGCCCAAGGAGACGGCCTATCTTTACGCCCGATTTAACAAGATCACAAAAATACACAATAAGGACTTTGCCGACATGAGTAAATATTCTGGACTTAAATTTGAACAGATTCTCCTGCAGAGCCGTTTTCACCCGTTCCTCTCCACCTTCTACCTTTTCAGTCACATTAAGAAGAATCGACCTGAGTTCCAACCTTATTTCTGAGATCGATGACGCAGCGTTCTCCAAACTCCTTCATCTGGAGGAGCTGAGTCTGGCTGAGAACAGACTGACCAAACTGCCAACGCTCCCCACCGGCCTGACTCTGTTCAACGCCAACCTCAACCGGCTGAGGACTCAGGGCGTGAGGGCCACGGCCTTTAAGGTGAGGTCACTGGACAGGCTGAGGGGTTGCCAGATCTGCATCCATACTCAACATATCAACACCTACCGTATCACCAGATTCTTGACACAAACCTAATAATGGCGCCTCCTGTGGCAGCCAGTGTTGGCTGCAAAGACTCACACTGTAAATGTCCCCATTTTAGGAAAAATGAAATTAATTTTTATTATTATTATATCATCTGACAACTGCTGCACCGGGTGAACGAACAGAAGAAGCAGAAGATCATTCTCAACAACAGTGAAAAGTTTCAGCCGTCCTCGGTCGTTGGAGGTTTTCAACCAGCAGCCTCTTCTACAGTGTAGTGTGGTTGAGAATGATCTTCTGTTTTTGAGTCATTAAAGTTCCAGTGATTAAACACACCCAACCAGAACATCTGGACCTGGGGCTAAAACACCGTGTTATTACCAGGTTTAAAACATCGGTTCAGTTTGAAAACAAAAGATGACGCAGCAGTTTGATTGGTTGTTGCAGAAACTCACAAAACTGGCCTATCTGTACCTGGGGAACAACGAGCTGACGGCCGTGCCTCAGCTCCCAGAGTCTCTTCACGTGGTTCACCTGCACGTGAGTTGAATCCTCAGCTCAACAGAACGGACGGTGGAACCGGCCACTCCTCTCTGACCGCCTGTCCGTCTGCCCACAGAACAACAGGATCGCCTCGATATCAGACCAGACCTTCTGCAAAGGCAACAACAGTCACTACATTCGGAGCAACATGGACGAGGTGAGGCTGGACGGGAACCCCCTGCAGCTGTGGCAGCACCCCAACAGCTTCATCTGTCTGGAGACGCTGCCCGTGGGCTGGTACAACTGAAGGGACCGCAGGTCCAGGCGGGAGGCGGTCAACGGTACGGACGGAGAACAGAACTATTAACCAAGCACAGTTTATAAGTTAGCTCTGTATATGTACATCTACAGTGTAGTTTAAACAGGCAGTATTTGAGCGACGGAGCGTCAGGTATAAACACCAGGTCTCACAGTACCAGGTCCTGGAGTAACCACCCAGTCCTGTTATCTTATCTGGTCTAAACCAGTGTTTCACAAACTGTTTTTTTCTGGGGACCCATATTTTAAAAGTCACAAACCTTCGTGACCCAAGTCGATAGACATTATTCGTAAACTCCTGGGAAGCATGATGCAAGACGACCCAAAAAAAAAACTCTTGCGACCCACCTGAGGGTTGCGACCCAGTCTTTGGGAAACAATGGTCTAGGGCATTTGTTTTAGACTTGATGATTTTTTTTTTTTTTGCCAAACTAATGTCCAAGTATGAACAAACGCACTATTGTTTTGTTTTTTCCACTCTTTCTCTTCAACGTTCACTGTTATTATTACTGCTGTGTCTGTTTTTACACCATATAAACAATAAAAGCTGCATGTTGGAAGAGAGTTCTCCATCACTGACGCTTGTTGTTGACGTCACACAATCCACACACGCTCCAGTTCTGTGGGTGTGTCTGAATACACACGCGAGTCCGTGTCCACTGAGACCAGTGGTCACTTGGCTGCTGGTTCAACCAGTCCATCCGTGATCCTCTGCTGGTATTCTCTCTCCGACTTTTTACGCCGGTATACGTCATCTGTGGAGAGAGAGGGGGAAGGAGGCAGAGAGACATAAGAGATGAGCTAAAATAATCACATTTAGAACAGACTGATGAGACAAACAAACACTGTCCTTCATCCAATGACACGGGTCACAGAATCAGAATGACATCACTGAAACGAACTCCTCATGGAAATGAACAAGTATTAACAAATATTAACAAGTATTAACAAGTATCCTCGTGTGAAACAGACACGTGAATGACGACTGTTTACTCACAGAACGTCTCTTTTCCGACCCTGACGTTGATCATGATCCACTCCATGACTCCTCCAATGCAGAAGAAGATCGGGAGAAACCGGTATGTCCCCAGGCTACTTTTACCCGGGACAAGGTTGAGCAAATATTTTAGGTTTTTACTGCGATGAAACATCCTAGCTAGCAGCTAGCAGACTGTCAGTAACGGTCCTGTGTTTAAACGGCTTTAGAGGTTACGGTGACGAGCGCGGACACGCGGTATTTTACCGTGTCCTTTGAAAATGTTACATGACAGATCGGAGTGCCGGTGGCGCTCGTTTAGGGTCTCGTTTACAGTTTATAGTCACGTGTAAAACAAAGCGAATGGGTGGGGTGTTCTGGGAAATAAAGAACGAGGCTTAGACGGGACAGAACGTTGTTCAAAACAAGCACACCCGGAAGCTTGGCCAGGCTGCGCACCGGATTTAGGACTGAGTTGGAAATCTAAGTTCCGGTCCGATCGGTAGTTTGTTTACTGGCTTTTTAAAATGTTTACGAAATAATTATTTACTAAAAATTCAATTATTTTATTATTATAATATTTTCTCTAATGTTAAGAATAGGCTTCTTAATTTAAAAAACGTTTAAATTAAAAAAAACACATCTCCCTTTTTAACTTCAGGTAAAACTACACGAATCAACAACAGACTGAAAACAGAGGAAAAGAATTCAATGAAGGAGAAGAGTTTTTATTGTTTCTGGGAGGAGGGAACACTACTTTTGACTCCTAAAGGGACAGTGTGACGTCACAACACAAACACACGTGCATAAACAGCACAGACACAGGTAACAGCGACAGCACCACATTTATAACAAGAAGCAGAGAGACACACGTGATTATTGATGAATAATTCATCTTTATCAGGGTTTTAAAAAAAATGCAAATGAATGCACTTGGTGGTTTTGTTTATAAAGTACAAGTATTTGAACCACATCCTGTTTCTTCAATTATCTACACAGTTCCATCAAAGGTAAGAATTAATAATAATGTTTCACTTTATTAAAATGTTTTGTAGTATTCAATTATCTACACTTCAAAGGTAAGAATTAATAATAACGTTTCACTTTATTAAAATGTTTTGTAGTAAATAAAAAAATAAAATAAAAACATTAAAATAGTTAAAAGCTATGAATAAAATATTTTTTCATGGACATTATTGGAGTTGAGTTTGTGGTGGAATACAACAGTGAGATGGTGATAACGCTGTTGAAACTCTTGAATTAATTGTGTGTTTGTCCTCGCTGCTCAGAGTGGACGGTGATGTCTGGGACAAAGGTCGCTTTCATTTAGAGAGTAATGAACCAAACCACTGAGAGCAGAGCTGATTACAGAGAAACCACATTAGCCGGGACGCTAAAGGTTTCACAAATGAAACATAGTGAAATAAGTAGTTGAAAGTATCAGACACTGAACACGACATCACTGATGTAAAAAAGTCTAAAAACATTTATACTAATATGATGCACGACGTCAATCTTCAACTTTGTGAGCTGGTCGACAGAACGTCCAGTGGTGCTCCACCGTGTTCTCGTTCGCACGCTCGCTCATGTGATGCACACGAGTGTTCCTGATGGTGAAGCCCTGCTTCATGATGTAGTCCATGAGGTGAACCCTGAGGGACACCTCCTGATGGTAGTCACATGGTCCAAAGGTGAAGGACACCTGGCAGTCTCTGGTGTCCATCATGTGTTTGTTCCACTTGGTGAAGTTGTTGGAAATGCCTTCCAGCAGGGCGTGCACTTTTGTGGTGATGGTCAGCTGCGTGATAATCACCGCCACCGGGTTGGAGTATTTGGACAGTTTCCGTGTACTGGAGAGCTCCACCACCTGCTCAAATATGTCGGGGGGGTACAAAGGCTTGGGGTCGTTCAGGCACTGGATCAAAGGTTGGATCTGATAGAAGTCTGCCTCTTTTCTCAGGAGGTCCGTCTCCGTGAAGTCCATGGGGAGGGTGAGCTCGGACGTGCGCAGGAAGTTCAGGATGTACCGGAAAAGAGTCCCATCGCGGTCGATGAAATAATTTCCCTGGGAATCCCGGGTGGTGGGGAAGTCTCCCCTGAACATGGCCCCCAGCATGGAGTCTGGATAGCGCTGCAGGGTGGACAGACTGGTGGTGTACAGGTGGCCTCCCACATTCAGGGTGACAGGAGTGGTCATCTGGATCAGAGGAGAAGATATAAGGTGGTCATGGGTTCTATGAAATCACCAAGTGTTTCTAAGGTGGAGATTCCTCTTTAGTTTGAACAACAATATGATAATATCGTACGGTGAGTTGAGTGTATCAATACATCTCTAATTCAAATCTCTTGTGAATTTGGTTTAATTAGTCAATAAATGAGATGTTTCTATGTGACGGAGTCCATTCACAGTTTGTGTCCATGTCTTACCCTATGGCCCCAGGCTCCATTATCCATTTGTAGAACCAAATCCACCTGGTCAGAACCAAACAGATGAACTGGTCTGGACGACTTCAGATTCACCTGTGACCAAAACAATTGTTTTTTTCATATTTGTGTTTAATGTTGCCTTCGAGGACTCTGCTGACCCCTGGTGTCATGTCTGATGTGTGATGTTTCTGAGCTGCAGCCCACTCCAGTCATGCCTGTGTTCCACATTCTGCATCCCAAACACATGGTTTCCAAATCTTACATTTAGCCTGACCTTTGACCCTTCTCCAGTCGGTCACAGAGTCACATCTACAGTCAATTTAAAACATCTCAGTCGGTCACAGAGTCGGTCACATCTACAGTCAATTTAAAACATCTAATTCACACAGTTTCCAACCAGTGTGATTTTGGGAACATTCAGTTACTGCTTATTACATATATTACATTTTGTACATTAACTACAAATATATATATAACACTAAACTAAACTGTAATAGATGTAACAGATGAATAATAGCAGAAGTCTCACGTCTTTACAACAGATAAACACGTGAGACTTGACGTGGACTTGGTGATGTGGCCAGACTGACACGGACTTGTCGGCCCGACATCAGTCTTCAGACTCGTGTTCCTACAGTTTCTACCCATCAGTCAGTCCGACATCACAGTGAACAAAAAGAGAAGCAAAAGCCACATGTTCACGTGATCTCGGTTCTTTCTCTGACAACTGTTGTTTCAGTCACGTGTTCAATACTTCAGCGCTTCACGGAAAGTGAAACTATCACTGATGTGACTCGGTGATGACGACGACCTGCAGACATTAGCAGCTGCAGCAGCGGCGGTCACCCACTGTAGGCTAACGACCGAGGCTAACGCAGCCGGAGCTCAGTCAATATAAACGTCGTCTTCTTGCGTTTATCGAGGAAAATACCTTCACCAAACACTGATGTGTGTACATTTGATGTCAACGCAATGAACTCTGGGATGACGCTAAATAAAAATTGTCCTGAACGCTTGTCGTGGACTGTTTGCTTGGCGCTAGCTGGTATGCTAATGTGGCTACGAGTTTGAGCTATCCCGCTGCTCTCAGGTTCACGCTGTTCATTAATAATAAATACGTCAACAGCAGCTACAGACCTTCACCTGGACCTCACCTGTTCAGTCTGTCGAGCTTCAGCTGATGTTTCCCCGCAGCAGCGACACAGTTTTCAGCGGTGCAGACGGAGGTCCATCAACGTCGGCTGCTGCTTTCACCGGGGTTTCTGCTCGAATCCAGGCTGCGGCAAAAAACTGAGGAGGAGGAGAAAGTAGTGTCGGTACTGCTGCTGCGTCAACCACAGACACATCTGTGAGAATCCAACCAGACACACGTCAGTGTAACTTAAACACATAGAGCACATAAAACTAGTCCACTTCTTTAATTGTTAAAGAGGTGGTCCGTGGCCCCTTTACAGATTTATACTAAATATAACTGCAAGAACATGAACTGTGCAAAGTAAACAGAGAAAAACATTTTCCAGTATTGTTGTCATGGTTACCTCCAACTAATTGTTGTTTGTTCATCACCTGGTTCACCTGGTTTATCTCCTGAGAACCAGATCTTGGGTCTCACCGTGACTTCCTGTATATGTATGGTTAAATAAAAGACCAAAATGTTTTGAACATATTTGAAATATGCCTTTAATGTAATGTGAAGTCAGAATAACAAGGTGGCTCAAGACGTGGCACCAGGTCCAGAGTTAGGACGTGAGGTCTGTGACTCCGTCAGGACGACTTCTTGGCGCTGCCCCTCTTCTCCTGCTGGTCGATGACAAACTCCAGGATCAGCTTGGCCGTGCGACAGGGCCGCTCCATGACCACGGAGTGACCACAGTTCTCCAGGAGGTCCAGTCTACAACCAGGCACCACCTCCGCAATGACCGCAGCTCCAGACACATCCACCACCTGGACGGAAAGTCCCATGTTTCTTTATTTTACAGCAAGAAGACAATGAGGTTGCTGGTTTGACTCCCAGTGTTTCTGTATGGTGTTCTTCTATGTGACTGTGTGGTAAACTGAAGAAACTCTGCCCTCGCCTGGTGACTACTGGGATTGAAACTGCACCAACCCCATAAATGTATAAATCATTTGTATTCATTAAGTGACGTCAGTGAAGCGACCCACGGCTGCAGTTACCTGGTCTTGTTTTCCCCATATCACCTGTAGGGGCGCTGTGATCAGATGTAAATGATCCTGTAGAGCAAACCTGGATTTCTCACCAATAATCTCCATGAACACTAATGAGAAAAACACAGTCACCGATTGGTCCATGACGCCCACAGGGGAACATGAGTGGAACCGTTCTGTTACCGTGAACTCACCGTCCTGATAAAAAGTGTTGTGTGGCTGACGAACATCCAGCAGACCCTGGAGAATCTGAAGGTTCAGGGAGAACCATGTGTCAAATCAAAGAAGGGCTGATTTTTATTTTTATTTTTATAATTGTAGCACACGGTGGTGGTGGATCCTTCAGATCTGTCCTGACCTGCTGAGGGATCCTGAAGCGGACGTGGGAACACAGTCTGAACATGTCCTCCATCTCCTCAGGTGTGGTGGGGATCAGAGGGATGTTCAGGGTGAAGTTGCTCTGCTCCAGGTCCTGCAGGTGGTTGTCAAACTTGGTCTCACAGGGATGTCTGACACCTGCCCAGGTAAAGGTCACACTTTACAACGATGATCTCACACACACACACACACACACACACACTAACAAAGGTGACTGACCATCGGGGCAGATCAGAGTGATGCTACAGATGTCTGATGGGTAGCAGGCTGCGTACACCCCGGCCACGTTGCCCCCCATGGAGGTTCCCACCAGGTGGAAGGGTTTCCTGTTCAATCGAACGGTTTCCACAAACTGAGACGAATCAGAGAGAAAAACATGATTTATGAACCAAAAGTACCAAACTCCGTCCCCTAGCCACCTGTGTCTCGTGTCTGTCGCCACCTGGTGGATTCTCTTGACCTGTCCTGGAATAGAGTAGTCCTCTGTGTTGGTGCGTGTGGTTCCCTCGTGGCCAGGCATGTCCACACACACGAGGTGCAGATGTTTTGGCAGATACTGAATCAAAGACAGAGTTCAGTTTTCACACGTCCTGTCCCTTTAAGACAGAGAACAGCTAGCTGCTAACGTGACGCGTCACCGTGCGTGTGATTCTGTCTCTGACCTTGATCAGACTGAGCCACGTGTCCTTGTGGCCAGAGAAACTGTGCAGCATCAGGATGGAGGGTCTGAAGTCAGGTTTCCCTCTGTAGGAGAAGCTGAAACGATAACCAGCACAGTCTGCAGACCGGACCTTCAGACCCAGAGTCCTCCTCCAGTACCTGCAGACCACCAGTAGAAGAATAATAAATACATAAATAAAGAATGAAGATTATTATTATTATCCTGTGTTGTTTTTACTGAACATCAGCATGTAGTTCCCCATTTCTGACCCGTAGGTGGTGCTAGACATTTAAAGGCCACTTTCCATGATTCAAAACTACAGATTTTTAAAAATTTAAATCTAATCCAACACAGACATTAGCAGTGTGTTAGCACCATGCTAACTAAACCCTACAATCACTCCAGCCGTTCTTCTTCTTCTTCTTTGGTTTTTACCAGCTGATCTCCAGCCGTTCTTCTTCTTTGGTTTTTACCAGCTGATCTGAATCTGAGTCAATACTGCCACCTACTGGGTCAATTTTCCACAAGTAAATATTGAATTCTGATCACAGTCCACAAAAAAGAAGAAAAGGAAACAGACGGAGCCGGTGTTGACTTCCTGTCAGACCATTGTTGATCATCGGTGACACTGATGTTCTGACTCACCAGTAATAGACTTTGATGAGAGCTGAGGGCCACAGCAGGAAGGACGCCATGAACACCAGAATAGGGACGGCCAGTGTTGCCGCGGCGATGACGACCAGGTTCAGCATGTCCACGTCAGCAGCCATCATGAACTCTCACCTGAAGGAACCGTGACACACACACACACACACGATGATGAGAGCTCTTCAACACGTCTCTGGTTTTGACCCTAGAATTCACTACTTCCTCCGTGTTGTCGTCGTCGACGTCGTCTGTAACGAGGTGGAAACGTTAAAAAAGAAATATTCAAACTTACTGATCAGACGCTGCCGTCCTCGTCAGTCAAACCAAGTTCACCTCATTTTCTCTGTCTGTTGGTTGATGTGCATCCATCTGTGTGTGTGTGTGTGTGTGTGCAGCTGCCCTGACAGACGACGCTGCTCTGGATAAAGTCATTGATTGTTTCTCGTCACAGTGGAACATCGGGGCCGCTGGACGAATCAGTGAGCGTCCACAGAGGGCTGCAGGCCTGCTGTGACCTTTATGACCTTCCTGCTCACTGACTCCAGTCTGTGACAAACAACAGATTAGTTGACAAACACCACGTTGATGATGTGGGAACCTGAACGTAGGGACGTGACGACACACGGTGATGTTTTCAGATAAATCCTGTTCAATTCTTTTTTTATTTCCACGATGAGAACAGATCGTTACCTCCCTAACAGAACACGTGTTTAATTGTAGATTAATTAGCTGACGTGGCAACAACAAAATCTAAAAACTCAGGGTGAGAAAAAAAAGAAAAGAATTGTTTGTATTTTTGTTTATTTTTGATCATTACAATCACTCGTTACACTTCAAGTTCAAACTTTCAAGTAAATTAGACTTTATTACGTGTCAAAAACCTGTTTCTCTAAATTTGATTTACTACACGTGGATTTTAGGAACATCACGTAGAAGGGGGCGCTGTTGCCCAGGATAGAAGCGTTGCAGGTGTGATCATTACAAAAGTCTGACTTTTCTGTGGGATTACTGCGTGAACACTCAGGGTTACGTCACATCTTCAACACTTTTTAGTCAACTTTCTCTGAGACTCTTCAACCAAAAAACTATTTCCTCTTTCTTTCATTAACACGTCTTAAAAAACGACAACACCCTAAAACAGTGACGAGGACAAAACCTTCTAACAGCCGGTGCAGCGGGGGTCGATGGGGCCAGTCTTCAGGTTTAGTGCAGCAGATTCAGTGGCTGTGGTTCGTCCGTGAGCGACTTTAACTCCTGAAGAGAAGGGACGCTGTGGCGGCGAAGACGGCGGTCAGAGCCACGGCCACCACCGGACCCCAGATCATCCAGGGTTTCTACAACAGGAGGAGGAAAGATGAGCTCCACGGAGAGGAGAACATGGAGAAAAGAATCAGGAGCGTTCAAACACTCACCGTGGTCTCCTTCTGCTCCATGTCCTTCATGTTGGCCTTACACTGCTCCAGCTCCTCCGTCAGCGACTGCTGCTCCTGCTCCATCTTCTCACACTTCTCCTTCAGTGTGGACAGCTCCTTCTCCGCCTCCTCAAACTGCACCAAGACACAACAGATACCTCACTGCTCAACAGAACTCTGAGCTGACGTCTGTCACAGCAACAGTTCTCTGGATGTGTGAGAATCACAGGTGCAGGACCAGAAGGTTCTAAGGTGCAGGAGTAGAACCTCGGTTCTGACCTCTTTCTGCAGAGCCTGGCAGTGACCGTCTGCCTCCCTCTGCTGGCTCTGCCAGTTGACCTTATCCTGCTGGTACTGGTTCTGTAGGGTCACCAGTGTCTTCTCCAACTCCTGCTGGGAACTTTCCAGAGATTTGAGGCTGCTGCTGAGCTCAGCATTCTGGGAAATTAAACTGAAACACAGAAGAAGAGTGAACCGTGACAACAAGTTGAGGTGAGACAGAGGGGTGAGACACAGGGGTGAGACAGAGGGGTGAGACACAGGGGTGACACAGGGGTGAGACACAGGGGTGACACTGAGGTGAGACAGAGGGGTTAGACAGAGGG